TGTTACGTGTGCTCCTCTACACCTGCGACAACATGGGCCCTCCTAAGTGGTCACTGGTGATAACTGCCCAAAATTTTGCTATCAGACTGGTTTTGACAGTGTCAAAGCGAGGGTCAGCCTGGTCTGCTAATGTTAGAACTGGGAGTGATGCCAGGACTTCCAGGAGCTGGCCACAGGCTTAGGCTGCATTACATAACCTCCTAATTGGCAACAGCCACGCAGGTGCAGGTATTTCCATGGGCTGAGCTAGTGCCAAAATCTGCCAGCTTTGTTCTGAACTCTTCACACACAAGAGAAAGCTTAGCTGGCCTACCAACGTCCACTATTTACAGTTATTTTCTCCTCCTCCTTGAAGTTTTCCAATAGCACTGTTTTTCTAGGAAAGATGCTTAAAGTTGGCAGTTTATATATCACTATATGCAATACGCCCCATGATGATCATAAATAGCTCAATTACTTACACAGAGACTTTTAAAAAACACAGGCAACAAATGTCATGTTATCAGAATCACCATCAACCCCCTTCTTATTTTGTTAGGGTCAAAAATAAGGCTGTGATTCTAGCACCATTTCTGTGAGCAGAAGTATACACATGCTTACCACACACCAAACTATGCCAAAGGCATAGCTTCATGTGCAGTTCTTTCAGCAGCACGGTTAATTTTTTCATGCAACCACTGTTTTGCTCATTCCCACTCCCTGCCATTCCCTCGGGCTGTTTCACCACAGCTGTTTGTGGCTACACAAAGAGTCAGATGGGCAAACAGAACCAGGTTAGTTACCTGACTTCAAGAAGGGGAGGGAAGAGAGAGAGAGAGAGGCTATTTTCAGTTTCTCAAACTAGGCCACCACACAGCTGCACAAACAGCTGCACCAGCACAACTGAGAGGTTGCACGACGACCGAAATGAGTGGCTGTGCAAGAGACTGACTTCAACTGGCGCTGTGAGCAAAAGAAACGCTTATCACACTATAGCTTCAGGCAAAGTGGCACGGTCTAGGTTGGAGGATTTCAAAGGATATGAGAACAACCAGCTCCCATGGATTCTTGGGTCTCAGGCAGCCTTGGAAATCTCAACCTAGACACTGACAACGGTTTCTTGTTTCAGGGCAGAGGAAACAATTTACAGTATTTTCAACCTGTTCTTACTAAAACTGTATTTGCTGCTTTTACTAAATGTTGACTGCTTTGTTATCCTTATGTAACAGTAAAAAAGCAGATATGCAAACTGCAAAGAGATCAGTTTCCAACACAGAAATCTTGTAATTGAGTGATCTTAAGGAATAAAAAAAGAGGATCACTAATGCATACACCTCCACTGCAAACTGGAACGTTGTGTAGAGTTAGGCAAGCTAGCTTCAAAGGAGCTACATCAGCAGCTGTACCACAATGGCAGCAGACTTTACATGGACTAATTGGTTGCCTCCTTCCAATATGCTCCTTTTTAATGATAATCCAAAGCAATTCTACATTATACTACAATGTCTTATGTCTTCCCATTCTACCCCAAATCAAATAACAAAAACCAGTCAACTTGACCTCATCTGAGGGAAACTGGCAAAGGATTCTGCCTACTTTGAAAAGTACAAAACTTCCTTGTAGGTCTAGTAGCAAATTAATAACAAATAATGCTGACATTTACTTATGAATTCCCAAACAGAATCTGATTAATAACCTACACTCTTAACTTAGAAGCAATTATAAAGTGGAATAAAAAAACAACCTATGAACTACTAGGAAGTGACATGGCTAAAGCAATTAGAGGTAGATACATTCACAAAACGTGCAGATTTTATAGGGGTGCCCATGCAGACACTCTACCTACCTTTTTGGAAGGGTTAAGGATTGAGGGTGCACTATGACTGAGTTTAGAAAATTATCTCTGGAATTTGAAGCATGAACTGAGAACAAATAATACATGTTATCTGTGGTTTTATTCTAAAATCACTTTCTTAAGACCTCTTTCACATTCAAATTTCATTTTCAATAAGATTCTAAATTAATGTTTCTGTATTTCAATTCAAATCGTCTTCATCTGAGTACTACAAACACTGCTACACAAATGCAAATCTGCCTACTACCCTGCCATCTCTCAGCAACAACTGTTAATTAGAAGTTCTGGTCTGGGTGTTTCATGGATGAATATCCCACTGCTTAGAGGAATAAACAACACCCAATCAAGTCATAATTGTCTACAAAACTTAGAGGCAGTAGGCTGAAAAATGAAAAATGACAAATCTGCACGATTACTGCTGAGATTTTTGTTACTCTTTCCAAATCACTATGTAAACTCTGATTCAGTTTTTCCTGTTCTTTTTTTCCTATTATGGCACAACTTCAACCTCTGGTTGCTGAAGGAAGTCGGGTACACCTTTCTGTACCTTTCTAAACAGTTTGAAAACTAGCTTTGATGGCGGTGCACTTTCATCAATAAAATGGAGAGTGATTACCGAGGAGAAATCAACACATTAAAAAGAAGAAAAGTTCAGTACATTTTTAATTTTCAACTCATTGCCTAAAAGACACTGTAAAGATAACATTTAACTTATGGTAGTCTTAAGAACATAAAATTTGTTCAAGGATGTGAATAAAGAATTCTTGGAAGAACATATATATGTATATCTGCTACAGAATCTGTTTATACCGCTGGATAAAGAAATCATGTTTTCTTGCACTTTGATGAAAGAACTAATAATCACTGGCATGACTACTTGCATTTGTATTACTACAGTAACTGTATTTGACAATCAAATCTTAAAATTGCAGACTTAAAATCAACAGAAGATAGAACTGTAACAGTGCAGTACTGTTTTGCAGAAGTCTATTACAACTCACTAATTCATGAGGAGCTGCACTTATCAAAGCAACATAAGGTTTAATATCCTCTCAAACTTTTAAAATGTTCTAAATGTCATTGTTTCGCTCAATCTTTTAATCATTAACAACTTTCACAACTCCTCATTTAACAAGGAAAAAAACCCAATTAAAAAAAAATCTCTTTAAAAGAATTGAAATTGAACAGCATGTAGAAAAACTGCAATTTCACTGTCCCATTATCTCTTTATTCCTTAAGAAGTACACTTCAGCCGCCCACAGCTTTTACCCTAAATGCCATGCTGATGTAGCCACCAAAACAATGAATTCAAGGTTTCACACTTCAAAACTGAAAGTATACTTGAACAATGGTGTAAGTAGTTTAATTCTTACCTTTTCCAGATTCCAACAAGACAGAATAAATATGCTGACGAGCAGGGCGGTAGATAAGTGCCTGTCCAGGAATCTCTGTATCACATTCATCTTCCAAAGAATTGCTGCACTCAATCTCTCCACTACTTAGGATATTGAAGATTGAATAATTTTCAGATTGGATATGCTGTTCTCTAGCTAACTGTCCAAAGAAAGAAGAAGGCATTATCTTGACAATTATGATGGATCAAAAAGTAACAAAGTGCATTCACTGTTTGAGGAAATGGTACTTTATCAGTGGAAATGGACGGAATGGCAAAGGAGGGAACAAGCGCTTTTTCAAATAACACCAATAAAGTATATTTTCAGACATGTATCTTTGTGGACAGGAATTCCCCAGGAAACTCATCATTGACTTTCTTCTTGAATTCTTAAAACTTGGGGGCTTTTAAAGTGTAATTATTCATGAAATGAATAATGAATTCAGACATATTAAAATGAGCTGCCTTCCTGAAAATATATCTTCCTTCTTTAAACAGTGAATGAAGGCATGACAAAACCCAAACTTACAATTCTATTGCAAGATGAACAACATAAGACAGCTCCATTTCTTTCCTGAGCGACTTTGCATAGTGAAATTAGAACACCAGCTTCACCACAGTTCTACTTTGCAATAGCTCTTTCCCAGGAAAAGAAATACAAACTACTACAGCAAGGAAAACCAGAATCACAGCATCACCCAGGCTGCATATTAACCACATACTGGATGCTGATACATCCAGGCTACAGGAGCTGGCTACAAGCAGCCCCAGTATCCATAGGGACCGCTGGTCTGGAGCAGCTTAGATGCAGAAGCAACAAAACTGCTCTCAGGCAGCGAAGAATATCAACCAGTAACACTTGTAACTGGGCTGGCCAAGCGCCGAGCCAGACAGACTTTCTACTTCTCAGACCAGAAGTATGGGGGTATTTAAACGTCTGAGTGGAGCCAATTATTTCCATGGAGTGCCACTAATAAACTCTCCAAGACCCATGCCATATGGCGAGCAGGCACTGAAGCTTCTCTGCTCTGCATTCCCTGCTTGTGTCACACTATCTGTATTAATTGGGTTGTATCATCCATGCAGCTATTTCAGCCTCTTTCACTGAGAATTACCAGACCACTTGCCAGAGCCAAATTCACCATTCCTGCAGAATTCCAGTATCTGCAAACCTGGAATCTTGTCAGGTCAAAGCTGCAGTCAATCACTGGGTTATTACGGATTAAAACTAATTTAGTGAAATGTCATTCTTTCAGAAGAAATTCTCACATGAGCATAAAATCAATGATAGGCTTGTGTACAATGGAAATAAACAGAGCACTTTCTTATAGCAATAAATGAACGGCTGCCCTGGAAGAATTACTTCAGTATTCCTAATATAAGTAAACAATGTAATACCCCAAATCTACTTGTGTAGAAAACAAAACCAAAGAGTTAAGTATTTCTAAGCATGATTTGACTGAAACATTGAACTATTTCATACAAACCATTTACAAGAAAGGACAGAGGGAAGATCCGGGTAACTACACACCTGTCAGTCTGACCTCGATGCCAGGGCAAGTCATGGAACAGGTCATCTT